TTATATGTATATATATAAACATACGCTCGTCAGAGTCTGTACTCTGGCAGACGGCACACCTTGCCGTGACCGCGGTCCCAGTGAACATCGCGACATTCGTCCGAACAGTACCACGCTCCGCCACAGATCTCGCACGCCGGAAATCCACCGTCGCCGCCGTCGTCGGCCGCGCGCCCACCGCACTGCGTGCACGTCGTCGCGTCGTCGCCCTCGAACTCGCAGCGCTCGCAGCGGCAGACGAAGTGATAGTTGTTGAGTAGACGACGTCGGCGTTCGCGTCGGTCAAGCGATGGGTTGACGTAGATATGCATGAGTTGTTCGCCGGGCTGTATCGTCCGCATGGCTCGTACCTCTACAGCCGGCTGGCACGGACCGACCTGCGAGCCGACGACGGCGACGTTTCCGTCGCACGAGTGGTTGAGGCAGGCCTGCAGCGGGAACAGCCCCGTGAAACTGCGGCCGACGGCGCGCGTGCCGATGTGGCGACCGAGCACGTCCTGCGCGTCGTCGCTCGCCGCGCCGACGTTGTGCAGGAAGCGCCGGTAGATGGCGGCAGCGTCGACGGCGTTGCCGAGCTGCTGCGCGTTGCACGCCATCTGGTGGTAGCGCTTGTCGAACTCGCGGCGCGTGAGGCGGAAGCGTCGTCGGCCGTCTTTGCCGTCGCCGTCGGTATCGAAGATCTTCACCATGATGTCGTAGATGCGAGGTACGTCCTCGACGATCGACGCATCCTCGGGATAGGCGAAGTATTCGTACGGCTGCGAGGCGACCTTGAAGAGGTCGGCGTCGCTCGTCGCGTCGTCGTCGTCGGCTGCCGACAGCCGCCCCATCTCGAGCCGTATCGACGCCCACAGACGCGCCATCATCATCGGACTCAGCAGCAGCGGCCAGTCCGGATACGAATCCGGGTCGTCGCAGAAGTCGTACAGCTCGCGCGCCGCCGGACGCACGGCCGGACACAGCCACGCGTGGTGACTCCGCCACGCCGTCTGACGGCACGCGTCGCCGCAGTAGCGCTCGCGCTCGCAGCGTCGGCACGCAACCTCGACGATCGTCGGCCAATGTCGGGCGGCTAGCTCTTGCGCGAGGGAACCCATCAGCCGGAGGTCTTCGTGGAAGTACTCGCGCCAGGTAAGCAGGGACCGGCTGCAGTGAGTGCAGAATGAAGAGGGGGAGGCTCCGCGGAGGAGGTTAGGGGAGGAGACGGCCGGTACGTCTTCGAAGAGAAGCTCGGCAGTGTTGACAAGGCGGGTTGCGAACAGTCCCTTGCCGGTGTCCTGCGTGTAGCGCACCTCTACGGGACACTTGGACGTCAGCGTATCGTAGAATCGCGCGACTCTCACCTGAGCAGGTAGATAGACAGACGCACGTGGATGTACGAGAGTTATAGGAGAGGCCTATAACAGATACACACGCGCGCGGGCACCCCTCCCCCACACACACCCTAACACGCACGCACGCACGCACGCACGCACGCACGCACGCACGCACGCACGCATATATATATATATATATATACATACACCACTATTGCCTGATTTTAAAGGTTGTAAGGTTCAACAATATTTGCCTTCTCTGCATTTATTAAACCATTATTATTATTTTATTTGTATATATATATTACATATATTTTATTCAGTTATATATATATATATATATATATATATATATATAACGCTGGAGAGAGAGAGAGAGAGAGAGAGAGAGAGAGAGAGAGAGAGAGAGAGAGAGAGAGAGAGAGAGAAAGAGGGAGGGAGAGAGAAGGGGAGAGAGCGCGCGCGAGGAGAGAGGCGGGTAGAGAGTACACCTATTATTCCCGCTATTCGTTAACTGTATTTACCTGTTGGAGAAGCTCTCTCGCTTCCTCGTCATTCATAGCGCTGGCTTTCGTTAGCCAGGCTTCCGCCAACGCATACAAACCCAAGCCAGCAAGTGAGAGACCTGAAACGCAACAAAGGAGTATATAAGTAGTATTAGGGGTTAATAATGACACATTTGTCATTATTAAACCCTGGTAGTATATAACAGTATAGTATAGTAGAGTATAATAGTATAATATAAGGTGTATATATAGTAATTAAGTGATCAGATGTGATCATGTATGGTCGGAAGAGAGAATCTTTTTTTTTATTTATTTTTTTGAGCGATGGTAGAATGGAATGTGTAGGGTGACAGGGATGTTATAGAAGTGTATTTTTAGTATTTTTATTTAAGCAATTGCTTTTTTAAAGTCTAACTTACGGGATGGATGTCACCGCGTACGTAATTGCGAAAAAAAAATGCAGAAAAAAATCATTAAATTGGTTCAATTTTGTTAGTTTTCTGTTGGCGGGTGCAGACGAGAAAAAAAAACTATATCTTCAACAAATGTCAGGACTGAAATGCTAGAAGCCGCAGCGTGTTCATTTAAAGTTCAAACTGTCGTCTGAGTAATTTAACATTTCGCACAGTGACGTCACAGCTTTCGGTAATTGGCAGCAGCTTATGCCGCTGTGCTCGCGTCCGAAAACCACGTGCTTAATAGACGTCGGCGTTCTAATTGAATACTTGCCCGGGTATCATGCTAAGGATAGATTCTATATAGCAGGGAAAGCATTCGCATGCTAGATTGACGTTACCCGCCTACATATCTAGCTAGGCTACATATATATCAGGAGTAGATAATAGGGAATTCCCTATTATCCCCTATAAAGGGGAATTCCCTATATATAGGGGAATCCCCTATATAGAAAAATTCCCTATTATCTACTCCTGATATATATTTTCGGGTTGATAACGGCACTGTACCAATTACGCACAAAACAACGACGGAATAGTGAATACATGGAACGTATAAATGTTCCGTGCTCAATGTCACCTATGTTTATATGGAGCAGTAGTATATATATATAATTATAATATAATATATATAATAACTATATATATAGTAATAAGTAGCATATATATATATATGTTATATATATATAGCAGG